CTAACTCCGGACCGAGTTCAAATTAAGGTTCGACTTCTGGAACCGAGTCGGACCGAACCGAACTTTTAACATCCCTACTTACTACGGACTATCACAAGTAGATACAGTATCTGATACGTGCATATTTTTGTTATACAACTTCCATGTCTTACTACCATGTCTTAGTACGTATGGACTATCATGTCTTAATATGGTCAAAAATTTTTTGATTATACGTATCATGCGAGATAATGAATAATGACCAGAAAATCTAGAAAATGTCAGATAAGATTCTTTGTTGAACATCTATCTCATACGTACAGTACGTATAAGTCGTAAAATCCTAAAAAATTGAAATTTTATTAAAAAAAAAAAAATTATACGTATATTTTTTAAAAATATATAATGTAATTTATAAATCACTCGGAGCTGATTAAAAAGCGTACTTACCTGTAGTGTCTAAACCAAGATTATTAATAGAAATTTCAAGTTCAGAATTTAGTGTGGTCTGTTTGTTTATCCAAGTTCGGCCTAAAAGGAGGCTCAGGCAAATTATTTGAATTAATATCATTGGTCAATAAAATAATGTGATTAATAATTGTGAGTAGGGTGACGTAACCCAAACCTTTTTACGGAATTCGGGATATATCAAAACAAAATAATTACTGTTCATACTATGATATTTTATGATATCATCAAAAATCCCAAACTAGCTCCAGCAGTTTTAAATGCGGCATGACATCACTATAATTGTAAACTATATACAGTACAGCAGACCCAACAAAAGTGCACTTCCCCCTCTATACATCATTGTAACATTACTGCAATATATGTAGATTACTCTCCATAAATCTCATTCTATAAGTACATATGGAAAGTCGACTGCATAATGCGAAGAATGAAACAAGAAATTTTTGCTGTATAATAAAAAAATTTGACATTTTATTTCTCCAAGAATCGTCTAAAAAAATCTAAAAAGTAATATGTAATTGAAATAAAAGCTAATAGATGACCAATGTGCTTTTTATTATGTATTAACACTTATTGTCAAACGTTATTCAAAACATAAATGGCTAAATTGTTATCTTTGTACCTACAGTACAAACGTATATATGGTCTTGATTTTCCAAACTTGATAAGATATATAAACACGTACAATCAAACCGCATTTCATTTAAACTTACTGTAATAACAAAAAAAAATTATCTTAGAAAAATGGATCTCTTCTTTGATAAAGAAGCGCGTATTAGAAAATTTAAATATATATTAGTAAAGCTCAAAGACCTTAGAATTTCTTTAAAAAATAATCTTGATTATATTGGTGGATTTGCAGCAATTACTCGTCAACGATCGAAAATTTTGAGTAAACGAATGTTCGAATCTCAAAGATTTAGTCCAAACGATTGGTCTCATCAAGAATATACAATTTGGTTAAAACTTTTAGAAACTGTTGAACAATTTTATGCTTTTGCTTTAATTCGTCAAAATCATAAAACTGAACTTATAGAATTTTTAAGAAAGCTGGGTAGGGAAGATAAAGCTGAAAAATTAAATTATGATGATAGTGCGGAGGCTGTTGATAAGTTATATACTACATTGTTAAATAATATAAAGAAAGATTCTCAGTATTTTAATCATTGTAGAGGATTTTTATATAAAGAAAGTCATGATATGGGTCCGCAAAATAAAAAAATGGTTAGTCAGGATGATTTGGATGATTTGAAGACGGTTTTTCTAAATCATCATAAATTATTTGAAGCTGTTACTAATGATCGTACTGTATGGGCTCAAGTTAAAAAACGTTAATTATTTATATATATTCATGATCTTGTTCAATCATTCGATAATACAGTACATTAGAAATTAATTAATTTGTATCTTTAGATTATGCAATGAATATGTTTATCGTTTTTTTTTTTTTTTTTTTGCATAATAATATCATTTATCTATTTCTGTATTATTTCTGTATTTTAACTGTTAATATTGTTTTTCTTATATTCGATCAAAATTATTTTTTAATAGAGAACCTTTTATATCTTCGAGAACATATTGTCGATTAGACAAAATTTGTACACTCAAGTAAAGGACTAATCTGATCAAAAAAATAATTCAGATATTTATAACTATCAAAGTAAATAGAACCATTTTCATGTTTTGTTACGGGTATTCATTATCAACATCAATATATTGAAAGTAAGAAACAGAGGCACTCGGATTGATTTTTTTTTGTACAAAATTCATTTGATAATATATCACTTAGAATCGATAATGATCTATCGTTATTAGTAAATCACAGTATTGCAGTAGTGTGATACTTGAGTAAATCTCAATAACGATAATGTTACCATCCATACTACTAATTTTTATAATAAAAAATATGGAATCTCTGATAAATGCTCGGCTCGCACTCATATATTTTTACGTTACATATCTGAGTAATAAGTAAGCCACATGGTTTTAGTCGACTGGCTTAGCCAGTTGACTACATGCCGCATTAGCCAGCCGATCATATTATGTAAATCAGCTGGCTTAGCCGGTTAAGCAAGCATATCGATATTTAACGTTAATATATTAATATATATTATACTGTTCTACTGTTATATATAACATTAACAACTACGAGTTATTTTGACTCGAGAATCTCACGAATCATCATCTTTGAGGCTGTTAAATGAATCCCTATATCGATATCGCTTTTATATAAAAAATTAATATTTATAGAGGAGTGAATATAAGAAACTTGAGCAAAGAAACTGTAACAGATAATTATACGCATAATGAATTAACCCCCCAAAAAAACAAATTCATTTACATCAAAATATATTTACTGGAAACAAAAAAAATTTACAACATATCTCACTCAAGAGATAAAAAAAATTAAAGCATTAATTACATCGTTATCTTATTACACTTCATTTTTTCTTCTATCCATTTCGATTTTCATGCTAATAATTCTCATGTTATATGAATGATTCTGAACATTTCTCATAATGATCTTGAAACAATTTAAAAGTAAGCTTTTTTTTTTTTTTTGACAATGATGACAATAATGAATATTTATTATAAAAAATTAATCTAATTTTAATTTTTCAAAAATGTGGAAAGCTGCACATGTCCGTATTAACCGGCAAGCATATGAAAATAATTCTGTAAATTAAATTATCATATAAGAATAAGTTATATATCAAGAGTACTAGCAAGTAATAATGTTGAATGCACTCCATAGAGCTTCCGAGGTCAACCATAAAATAATTTTAATAGATACGATTATGTATCGATTACCTGTGGATCATGAGGTTGAAGTTACAAGGGCTGAACGTCAAAGTATAGCTAGTAAAAAATCGCAGATTCAGCAACAAGTGAATCTCATAATTAAATGATAATAAATTTCTGATTGTAATGCGTCATTTCTCAATTAAATTCACGATCATTTTTGATGTTATAGATATTTCCAGTGGAAAATCATTAACTCCACATTAATCAAGAAACCATTACATTCGCTACAATTATAGCAGAATGGAAATATATTTATAATAATTGACTTTAATTAACATATATTATTTTTTTTTTAGAATATCTAGTACTTGTCGTAACGATTTCTATCCATCAAACTTTTTTGTTTTTCTATTGAATAATTAATAATTATAGTTTCTAATATTCGATTAAATGTTATATATGGGGTTAAAAAACAAGTTCAAGAATAGCAGGACAACAGGTACTGATAGAAAAAAAAAAATGAAATACGCAACAATAAAAAAAGCACTGAATACAACTTATTGTCTTATTTATCTTAGAATGAGCCAAATTGCATCTAAAATGATGTGGGAAGAACGCTTAGATGGTGCTGAAAAAAATTCAGCAAATTGCACCAAGAATCTTGTTACTAGTTCAAGTTCAATTAACAGTGAAAAAACAACACTATCAAACCTCGAACTAAAAAATATTAATATAACGATAGTACGTAAAGATGATGATTTGGAAATTTATGAAAGCAATAAAAATGAAGATATTATAAAAATTATGATATTAATAAAAATAATGATATTATAAAAACAAAGCAATAAAAACCAAGAGTAATTATCAATAATTTATTATACGATAATTCTATCATGATTTGAACTAAGAAAAATTTTTCAATCAGTGAAAATTGAAAAATGACACCGTATGTACGTACAGTACACAATTTTTTGTTTCTGGTTCTGACTTTCCTAGACTTCCGGACGATCATCTGGTTCTGACTTTCCTAGACTTCCGGACGATCATCTGGTTCTGACTTTCCTAGACTTCCGGACGATCATCTGGTACACATTTTCCAGGTGCTAATATGTACACTCTATTCAGATAATTCTTTGGTTAATCTTTTGCAAAGAAATCAATTGTAAGTATAAAATAAATTCTTTAGTATATGAGAGTGTATTCTTTTTAATCATGCTGAATATTACAAAGTCTTGTGAATGTTTTCAAAAAAAAGATTCAAAGAGGAAAGTCTTGTTATGTTTTCAAAAAAAAGATTCAAAGATAAACATTCTCAACATGAAAGAAATAAAGATTTTTTATTTTTGTTGACATCTAAGGAGTGGCATTTAAAGTTTCCTTCTAGCGATTTTCAGAATACATTTATATCTTAAAATTTTATCCTGTAATATATCTTATTTTTCTGTATTATTGCGCTTTGCAAAAAGATGTGACCTCTGCAGATCACAACGTCGCGTGAAAATTGTAGATTTTAAGAATCTTATCGATTTCAAATAAATATAAATATAACTGATCAAAAATATGAATTAATAGACAATTTAGAATCTCGGAAAATTTCATCTTTCATCATCACAAAAAACATGGGGTCACATCTTTTTGCAAAGCAGCCATGGTTGAATTTCATATACATAATTGTGGCACATGTACTGTATATATGAGATTCTTTTTACATTGTACGGGTCCTAGTTCGATTTGTACTTCCAAATTTTAATTATTATATGGGAATTTTTAACTGGAATACCAGCATTTAATGATAGAGCCTAAGATATTTACAATACGTGATGCTCGATACTTCATGTTTATATAATCCGATTGAAAGATTAGAACTGATGTAATTTCGGGAAGCAGATAAAGTGATATATACTATTTTGACAACTGGTATCTACTTATGATAAAGTGGTTTATAAAAGTCGAATTTTTAGTTACGTTTCTCATCAAGAAAATTAGTAAAATTGACAAATCGGAAATAAGCTTCTGAATGGTGATTATTTTAAATTTACACGTAGTTTGAAGAATGCTAATAATTTAACCGAATGCGAATCATAATTTTTGTTATTAGAAAAGTCTTCGGCTAGATTAATTATTAGCCTCCTCAAACTACTTGTCTCGAAATAACACCCATGGGAATAATTTTAAATACAGTATATTTATTAATATAAATAATTTAATGCTTTAATTTTGACAATTCTATTAGGTTTAAATCGCAGATAAAGTAGTTAGAGTTTTATTCTTATGCCATTTAGAAGATATAATTTTGCCATATATGAGAAAATTTATGTAATATCACATTTGATAATAAGAATAGAAAGTAGAAGCATGACCTCATCGTAAACGTGCAGTGTACATTAAGTCCAATACTTTTTTTTTTATTAGCCCTAGTTTTAAGTCCATTTAGCCTTAGCTTTAATCTAATTAATTCAAATTCGTAGTTTTTATATATCCAAAATTACGCTTTTCAACGACACAAATCTTTTATGAAACCGCCTTTTATGCTTAACAAAAAAAAAAAAATCATCGAGAAATTTTAGTACATAATACAACCTTCCTAATTCTAACAATAACTACTAACCCTAAAGAGCTGTTAGAATGATTTATAACACAACCTTCCTCATTTTAACACTAATCTGTTAGAATGGTTATATCTAATATCAACCAGTAAAAATCGAGAATCATATGAAATGCTCGAATTCTCAATATCTGGATATATGGCAAAATATTATTCCGTGTCCCTGATCACAGCTAGAGATACAACCTGGGTTGTATGTTAATCATGATAAAAATTGATTAATTAATAGAACCGATAAACTGATTACAGTAAATTTATTAAAAATTTCTTTTATAAAGTTTAAGTGGAAAATCATTCGATGGTTAGTTGCTTCAAAAGTTTAAATCTGATTAGCTATCAACTTTAACTTTCCAACTAATCGATTTTAGATTCGTATCACTAGATATATGGGAAATTGCTAACTTAAAAAATAAATTTTAAAAATAAAATTTTAAATATAACCTTGTTCTGTGGTTTTTTAAAATTAAAAAAAAAACAATTGTACAGCTTTTAAAAAAATTAAAATTTGGGGCGTAGATCTTTTATCGCGGTTTTCAAAATGGTTGAAGATTGGTAAAAAAAAAATTTTTTTCGAGTATACTCATATACCTCGTATATGAGATTACCTTAGCACGTTGATTGAAGATCGATGCTTGATTCACTTATTGTTTCAAACAATAAGTATGTATGTAATCAAATATCGATTTTCAATCAACGTGCTAAGGTAATCAATCCTGTACGTATACGCTGTGTAGGTATACTAGAGAACTTTTTTTAGGTATTTTGCAGATCAGTATGGTATAGGTGGGCAGATTAGTATAGTATAGGCCGATTTTTAAATCTATACTATACGGACCAGGTATTATATATATGAGCGTTATATAGTTTCTATAATTTTGCAGATCCGTATAGTATAATTTTTTAAAAATTGCCCTGTACTATACTGATTTGCTCACCTATACCATACTGATCTGCTATAATTTCGAATTAGTTTATTTCAATTATGAATGGGCAAAGTAATTTGTAAGTAATAATGACTTATCCCTTACTTAATATTAAGTAATATTAAGTAATATTAAGTATTTATTACATTATATTACTTATTACGAGAACCTTAATTATATAATAATGAGATTGAGAGTAAATTTGCTAATTGCAAAAATTCTTAAATAATACAAGTAATTAAGTAAGAATACGTATCGGTATTAATTTTTCCTATCCCTAATTTCAATATTTTCTGATCAACTAATTTAAGGGTGTTCTCAAGCACAAATTTTTGTTAGTAAAAAAAATAGTTTAACGAATCAATTGTATTGATTATTCTAATGAATAAAATGAAAGTTTAATACATACGTCAGAAAGAATAATTTTATTGGCAGAAGTTCGTCAAGGATATTTATAGAGACCCAAACATCCTTTATATAGTTGCGCTTATTGGTCGAAATTTTTCATTGATTGATTAGAAAAATTATTGTTCAAGTATTCACTCTTACATTATCATCATCGTTATAAATCTTCAATTGCAATCAATATTTTAATTGATTAATTAGCGTATGTTCATAGTGCATCCATGGATTGGTCCGCATGTTCCGGATCCGTGTGAAATTAGATCCAGATCCAAAAGTTCATATTATCTAATATTATGACTTAATTTAGTAAATGGGCTTTTTATTAGTTTACCATGTGGTCATGAGAATTATTAATTCCGAATAACTTTATACGTAGTTACTTCGTATCCAATAACTACAGAACTATATACTCTTGTATATAGTACGATAACTACATTCTTTACCACAAAATTACATAAAAATTTTGTAATTATAAATCATAAAATAATAAATATAACGTGTATTATTTGGTTTGATTTAGGAAATTGATATTTCCACACCCCTTTTTTGATAATGCCACACCCCCGCCAATCATTCTAATTTTTACAATTTTTTCGAATTTTGATCGAAGATATCTCGACAATTACCTGACCACATTCGACAAACTTTTTTTTTTTAGTTCTACTGATTTCTACAATTAAAATAAAAAAAAAAAGCTCGTCGAATTTGTTCAGGTGGTTGTCGAGATATCTTCGATCAAAGTATTGTAAATTTAACGTCTATCAAATAGAAGCCGCGTTGCAGGTTGTGAAACTTTGATCGAAGATATCTCGACATCTACTTGACTAAATTCGATGAGCTTTGTTTCTTTGAATTTTACAAATTTCTACAATTAAAATAAGAAAAAGTTCGTCGAATTTAGTCAGGTAGTTGTCGAGATATCCTCGACCAAAGATTTTGTAAATTTTGAACGTCTATCAAGTAGAAGCCGCGTTGCGGATTGTTGTGAAACTTTAATTGAAGATATCTCGGTATCCACCTGATCAAATTCTATGAAATTTTTTCTTTAAATTCTAAATTAAAATAAAAAAAAGTTCAACGAATTTGATTAGATGTATGTCGAGAAATCTTTTAAAAAAATTAAAAAAATTAGAATGATCGGCGAGGGTGTGGCATTATCAATAAAGGGTGTGGAAATATCAATTTCCTTGATTTATTTAAAATTACTTTTTATTTTAGAGATTTATATATATATATTTTACCAAAATATAAATTTTTGTATAAAACAAAAAAGATTATAGAAAATTTAATTTACAGTCAGACCCCTCTAAATGCACCCTCCCTAAATGCAGCACCCTCTAAATGCATGATATAAGCCCGGGCCCATGGTGGGAAATGCACGTTCTTTATTCTGTAAGTGCACGCTAACCGTCTGGCCCACTTATAAAAACTCCCTCCATAAATGCATTCATGTGATTACCAGCCAATCAAATTCATTATTTCAAGGCTACAGACACATTATCACGTGCTAACAGTAACATTGCGATTTTATTATTCTCTAATTGCAGCCCTCCCGAGATGCACGCTCTAGAGGTGGTCCCGGCGACGTACATTTAGGGAGGTCTGACTGTATTTCCTAGTCCATTACCCATTTACAGTATATACTATTGATATCCGGGATTTAAATATTATCATATTTCCCGAAAATTTTGAATGAATTTGAACAAAAAAAAAATTTATATTAGCCTAATTGAAAAAGACAATGACACTGTAAAAAATTTTATACTTAATATTTAATAAAAGTTCTTTTATTGACATTTATAATACATAGACATTTTAACCAAAATGCATAATAGCATAAAGCAGTTACATTATAAAACTAATAAGTAGCACAGCAGTTACATTATAAAACTAATAATAGCACAGCATTTACATTATAAAGCTAATAATAGCACAGCAGTTGCATTATACCATAATAACCATTTCCTATTAGCTTAAACAGTTAATTTTGTTTACTGAACAGCAATCTTCATTCCAGTAGGAGCAGACTTTGGAAGTTTAAGTTCTAAAACTCCATGTTCAAACTTAGCAATTATATTCTCTGCTTTAACATTTGAAGGAAGCGATAAAGTACGAGTAAATGTTCCATAACGACGTTCTTGAATATGAGTGGTTCCTTCTTTATACTTTTCATCTCGTTCAAGTTTACCAGAAATGACTAGAGCATTGTCGCGAACGTCTATATTAATTTTATCTTTTGTGAAGCCCTATTTATTTAAAGAATAAAATTAAAGTTAAATAAGAGTATTCGGAATTTTCAAGACTTTTTCTAATAGTAGATTTAGAAGGTAAACTTACAGGAAAATCGGCGCAAATAGTAAACTCTTTGTCATTTTCATGAACGTCAATTAGAGGACGCCAATTGTTATTACGATTACCACGAGTATTTCCACCACGCTTTGCAACGTCAAGATCACTCCAAAAGCCGTCGAATAAACGGGAAACAGCGTTTTCAAAACGACCTAAGTCAGAATCAAAGTACATTTTGTGTGTGATTTTCTTGTTTAATACTGTAAAAAGTTGATTATAAGTAGTTTGTGATTTGATTAAAGTAGTTGCGGTTTAATACTTGTTTTGTTTGCGAGTGTTTTTTTCAGCTGAGAAGTTAAGAACATTGAGAGAGTACAAGGCGTTAATTATATATTTTTAAAAAATAGTATGAGACTAATTTCTAGGAATGCCTAGTAATTTCTTGATAAATCATCAAGGTTTCTTTAATAATTACATTAAAATAATTCTCATGGCTAACCTTAGATAGTAATTTTTTGTGGAACATTCTGGAGTATCCCCTTTTATCATGTAAACAATGTGAGTTAGTGCAAAATTTGTTTATTGCGGCGTCACCTTTTGATCAGAGATTTTCATGGAATGATCTGGAATCTCATGATTTCTTAAAATTACAGTGTATGTAATTTCTGAATTTTAATCTATATACTGAAATAACGATATTGATTTTGTCTAGATTAATCACGAAACTGCAAGAAATTATATCAGTGTTACGCCATTGCTTGTGAAAAATTGTATAAATAATGATTCTATTAAACCAGCGCGTCAAAAATCAAGTTTAAAAGCGAATTATAAAATTTTTACAAAAACCACACTTAAAATTTTTTTAAAGCAAAAAATTACATTCAAGCACTTTTTAAAAATAAAACTATAGTCAAAATGTCTTTATACTGGCCTGATTACAGATTAGGTAATTTCGAAAATTCAGTATCTCGTCTATTCGATGATTTCTTCAAGGACCTTAGTGTTGAAAGACAATCCGGAAATAATAATACACGAAGTGTTAGTCGAACTGGTTGGGTTCCATCTCTCGATGTTCACGAGAGTGAAAAAGAATTTATTGTGAATGCTGAATTACCAGTATGTACTTTATTTTATTTTATTTTTTATTATAGTTCTCATTTTCTTAAAGTTTTTGTATAACTGTATTTAATTAATTTTTAACATTTAATTAAATAAATAGGGAGTTACAAAAGAACAAATTAATCTCGATGTTCGTGAAAATACACTTCTAATTTCCGGCGAAACTAAAAAAGATGAAAAATATAAGGAAGGAAATACACATATTCAAGAACGTCGATATGGAAATTTCACTCGTGCTATTACACTTCCTCGTAGTGTTAAAACTTCTGATATCACGGCTAAATTTGAAAATGGTATTCTTGAAGTAAAACTTCCAAAGGATGAAAATGCAAGTAGAAAAATTACAGTTCAATAATTTGACAAATAGTTAATTCATATTATAAGCTTATATATATGCTAAAATTCATTTTTTGCATTGTATATTTTATATTTACGAGAATTTGTAATTAAACGTAGTATTACAATTATGCTTAAATAAATAAAGAATTGTTATTTAGCAAATAAATCTATTGCAGCGAAGTGACTGGTTTTTAATGTGTATAACGTTATTTTTAATAGCAATTTTTAAAGTTTATATATATACGAAATAAGCATCTCTACATACATTATTGGATAATAAATTCATTGCACTTCTCATCAATAATGGTCATTCATATTGTTCAAAGTTACGTTAGATTTATATGTAATAACAAAGGTCTTGAAGATGTATAGATTATGTGTGCAAAAGTTTCCTCTACCTCTACTAGGGTCGGTAAAGTCTTAGGTCCGGGACTTTAGGACCTGGTCTTTAAAAACCGATTTCAAATTTAAGGACCTAAGGTCCTTGGGGTTTTTAAAAAGTCCTAATATACAATTTATAATATATAGTTTAAAATGAAATTATAATTTACTGTATTAAAAATAATAAAATTCATTTCAACTGCTATTAGTTCTGGACAATATTTTATAGTTATTATATGGGTATATAGTGAATAACCCAGTTACACACTGCCTTCGGCACGGAATATGAACCCGTGTGTATAACTGGGTTATTCAAATAGGTAAATAATACTGCAATATGTACATTGTGAAGGGGTAACGTGAACTAGCCGCAGCAAAAAAACGTGATCTAAGCCATAAGACTCAGGACCTTAATGCGCATTGCGAAGGCATTTAATAACTGCCAATTTGGGTTTGGCTTGAGGCGAAGCTCCATTGAAGAACAATAGTAAGGCGCCTCTATGGTGGGAACTAAAGTCATAGTAGCAAAGCCCCAAAGCTCTCTGTAATGTATAAATAACCATAGATTTCATGTATCTGAAAACAAGTGAAATGTTATAATAATAAAGAACATCTAATGATAAACTCCGGGGATCCTAGTTGCAGTAGGATTCTTGGTTCTCGGTCCAAATCTTCCACGCCTTCTTTCAAATAGCCTTTGATTTTTGTTGTGTCTTAGGCTGCAAGTACTAGTCACCCCAATCCGCCCTTTTCTGTATGTCCAGAATGTGACTGGACGGACTTTTGTAAACAGCTGCCTCTTGTATCCGGGTATATATTTACAAAGACAAGAGATATATCCGCTATACGTTTCTCACCTTCAACGTTCTACGTAGAGTGGGTGGCACAGAGGTCACAGGCATGCCAACATGGCATGCCAATAGTGGCATGCCCAAAACCCAAATAGTCTATAGGCATGCCATTTATATATATATCGAAATATTCCGAATAGAGATATAATAAAGACGATTTTTATCCGCAGAAACCTCAGCACAACTCATAATCGGTGCCTCCTTTTTTCTCATTGTGGGAGCAGGTTTCCCAATATGTCACAACTACATGTTCAAAATTAACGCGTTTGCAAACATATCTTACACTTTTTTTTTTATCGCCATCTCTTAGAAGTGTTTTGTCTTTATATTTCTTTGTTTTATTTATTTCATCTTTTTTCAATATTTTATTTTATTTTTTAGTTTTCGTCCCTTAGACGTTTGGTTCCTATGTCCTATCGTTTCTTATATTTCTTCGTTTGTTTTATTATTTCATCTTTTTTTTCAATATTTTATTTTATTTTTTAGTTGTCGTCCCCTAGAAGTTTGGTTCCTAGTGTATTGTATCCCATATTTTTTTGTGTTTATTTTATTTATTTTTAGTTTTCGTTCCTAAATCCTTTAGAAGTTTGGTTCCTAGTGTTCTGTCGTTTCTTATAGTTCTTTGTTTTATTTATTTCATTTTTTTTCAATATTTTTTTTATTTTTAGTTTTTATCCCTTAGTCTCTTAGAAGTTTGGTTTCTAGTGTTTTGTATCTTTCTTTCGTGTTTCTTTTGTATTTTTATGTTTTATTTTGTTTAAATTATCATTTTTTAGGCGGCTCAACCATGAGATACACCACTACGTGGTGGTTGAGACGAGTAGGAAAACTAGTCTCCGAAACCAAGTATCTCAGCGTTTATAGTCTTGTAATTTTTGTAATTTTTTATTTTTAGAATTTGAATTCGAAGTTTATAATAAATGTTATTTTGAACTGTTGTTAAATGTAAATAAAATTCTAATTTTTGTTAAGAACGAGTTAAAAAGAATAAAAAATTTTTACAATGTATTTTAACGATTTTGAGTTAATTAAAATTGATCCTATAGTTGTTAAATAAATCAAGCGACTTTTATATTTTATAAAATATGAATAGTAAGAAAAAAATTCTTTTGAATCTAACGCTAATCAAATATCGTAAATTTCAGAATTCCCTGCTTATACCAAAGTCTATCTACTTTAACCACTAACACTAAATCAAAAAATTTACCTTTTTGAACGGATTACTTTTAATTGTTATATATCTAATAACCGAATTAAAGTTATCCCTTATATCTACAATTTATATAAAATTTAATAGAAACCATTCTATATACAACGTTGAAGGCTTTCAGTACGGTTCAGTTAAAGTTTAATATTTAATACTAATTCTGTTTAAATTAAGTTTCTATCTGGTAATTAAGGAAAAAAATAATATTTATATTAATAATCGGTATATGTATAGAAATTATAAATCAAAAAAAAATTGAATAATAGTAATTTAGCAAACACTTCACCGACAGCTCATTTAGCCGACATCACACCAAGTGACAATTTACTAAAAATATATACTTGCAACTAAAAAAACGCTAATCCTAACCCTATGTGATGTCGGCTAAGTGAACTTTCGGTGAATGATTGTCGGTAAAGTGAGCCGCACCAAGCAAACACATACCGCGCAGCACATGCTATCAATCATTTCCAAATCACCATATTCGAAAAATTTTGTAGTTCTAATTCTAATAAATACTATACATTATCTGCGCAATTATGAGATTTGAGATTATTTCTTATTTTTTTTCATTAAAACTCAACCGACTACCCCTTGGGGATCATACACCAATACTGTGCGAATTGTCAAAATTCAACAAGTTCAAAAGCGAATTAACACTAAACTACACCACACGAAATTACAGTATATAATATTTTAAAAAGTCTTTATACTAGCCTGATATAAAATTTGGACATTTCGAGAATTCATATCTGGTAGTTGGGTTTTATTCTCTTAATTGATGTTCACGAAAACGAATTCAGTGTAAATGCCGAATTACCAGTATGTATATATATAACAAGGTTTTATTATAATTCTCTTTTTTTGCAACTTTAAATTATTTAGTTAATTAAAGAATCATCAAAGAACAAGTCAATGTTGATCTTCGTGAAAATACTAAAAAAAGATGAAAAATAAAGGAAGAAAATACACATATTCAAGGGCGTTGATATAGAAGTTTCGTTCGTGCTTTCATACTTCCTCGTAGTGTTAAAACTGCTGATCGCAGATAAGTTGGAAAATGGATTCAACTTCCAAAAGGACGAAAATGCGGATAGATAGACAAATAGTTAATTCATGTCATAAGCTTATATATATATGTTATATGTCTTTTTTTTGCATTGTATATTTTATATTTCACGAGAATTTGAGTATTATAGTCATGCTAAAATAAAGAATTGTCATTTAGCAAATAAATCTATTTCAGTGAGTGACTGGTTTTTTGATGGATTGTTCTCATATAATATAAATGAGTAATATTACTTTTTTTTTTCGTTATTTTTAATAGATTGAATCTC